TCTTTCTTTTAGGAATAGTTGTATTTGTTGTATTTTCAAAAATATGAATGGTTTTGGGAGGAGATTTCCACTGCTCTACTCACACCACCATCTTGGCTCTGCCCCCCACACCCCCCAACTTTCCTTTTTACTAAAGCAACAAATGCAAAGTTGTAAAATACACATAAACCAGATTAAGAAATAAATCCCGTCACTGAGGAAATCACTGTACTGCACAATCATCCATACATTTTATGTATTGTATATGTATTTTTGTGGGGAGGCACCTGAGACATTAGTGTTTTACCTATTTATGGTTTTGAGTCGCATCTTACAATATCTTACCTCATTTCTCTTACAGGACTTCATCTTGGAACATTACAGTGAAGACAGCTACCTATATGAAGATGAAATTGCGGATCTTACGGATCTGAGACAAGTATGTTTTTCTGTGCGGCAGGGAGGGGAGGATGGCTGCTAGAGTTTGTTGAGTTGCCAGATTATCCCATGATTGCCTTGAGATCTTATAAAATCGTCGGGGGCTGGGGGGGTCATAGAGAGTCACCACTGTGTGCTGTGTGCCACACCTGCTCTGTGCAAGCCACGGTGGCTACATCATCTATTCAACTTGTGCATAAGAAGAGCATAGAAGGGGACACATACCCACTGACATGATTTAGGATTGGATTCTGGACTCCTGGGTTCATCCCTGCATTTTCCACCCCTCCTGGAGTTTTCAGTATGAGCAGTGGGGCTTGAGCTCCATGAAAATAGTGAGTGAGAACATCTTTAGAAAGGGGACCCCTGCTGCATCCTCAAAATTCACCTCCTTGGTGTTTCCCTTCCTTTCAGGCCTGTCGGACGCCCAGCCGGGATGAGGCTGGTGTTGAACTACTGCTGAGTTACTTCATCCAGCTGGGCTTTGTGGAAAGCCGGTTCTTCCCTCCCACCCGACAGATGGGGATCATGTTCACATGGTAGGTGTCTGTGGCCTGGCCTGGGGCTTTCCCACCTCAGCCACAACCTCGGAGCCGCATGGTGATGCTCCTCTGCACTGAGCCCCTCTTGCTAATTGTCCCCTTTAGCCCAGGAGAGCCCAGAGACGTGTAGAGAAACCAGTGTTTATTTGTAAGGGAACCCAAGGGGGAAGGCTTCAATAGACCATGGCTTCTTGCTTCTCAGAACAAGTGCGCCGAGGAGAAGAGGCATTTTTTTTTGGTGCTTGTTTTATTGTTGGGAAAACACTGGGGCTCTTGAGTAGAAATAGCAAGGAGCAAGAGTCTTGTCCATGATGGGATGGGGGTGGGAATCAGGTTTTGTCCGAGTGACCTGGGCAGCAAACAGATAGATCAGATTTTAAAATCTGAGGCAGAACGTTTATCTTTTCCAGACTTGGTATTTCCAAAGATGAATGTTGTTTAAATCCTTTGGAGATACTGCATCTCTTCTCTGAGCATTCATTCTTAGGAGTGTAGAGAAAGGAGAAAATAAATCTAAAAGCCAAGGTCTGTATTCTGCACTCTGTTTCACTATAGCTGGTGGCTACTGATGCTTTCCTTTTGAGAGGCCAGGCAGATGGCTTTTCCTGAAGATGTTTTAGCTGCTTCCACGTGGGTGAGACTGCTAAAGGTGATTTCTCCTTAGTGTTGAAATAAGAAGAAGCTCCGTTTACCTCCTGGTTGATGTGTGAATTTTAAAACAAATCCTGAATTTTTTAGACTTCAGGAAGAATTATGAAGGGTTAGTAATTGATTCCATTTAGGAGAAGTCTTATATCTTTTTAATATACTTTATTTTTAGAGCAGTTTTAGGTTCACAGCAAAACTCAGGGATTTCCCACATATCCCCTGCCCACACACATGCGTAGCCTCCCTCATTATCAATATCCCCCACCAGAGTGGGACATTTGTTACAACTGATGAGCCTCTAAGTACATTATCACCCAAAGTCCACAGCATATGTTAGAGCTCACTCTTGGTGTTGTACACTCTGTGGGTTTTAACAAATGTCTAATGACATGGATCCACATTGTAGTATCACACAATAGCTTTGCTGCCCTAAAAGTCCTGTGTGTTCCACCTGTTTATCCCTTTCCCTTCCCCCAACCCTAGCAACCACTGATTCTTTTCTGTCTCCGTAGTTTTGCCTTTTCCAGAATATCGTATAATTAGAATCATACAGTATGTAACCTTCTCAGATTGACTTCCTTCACTTAGTAATACACACTTAAGTTTCCTCCATGTCTTTTCATGGCTTGATAGCTCATTGCTTTTAGCTCTGCATAATATTCTACTGTGTGTATATATCACAGTTTGTTTACTTGTTCAACTGTGAAGGGACTTCTTGGTTGAGAAGCTGTATTTCTGAGTGTGCTTGTGGGTATCTCATTCAAAATGAGCAGGCCCATCATCTTGCTTGAAAAGGAAAGTCTCATTGCATGTGCATCTGTGAATTTTTTTTTCCAGAAATACATTCTGTCCATTTTCATCCCAAAATGGCATTAGCTAGCCATGTAATCCATATTCTTAACACACATTTCTTTTAAATAGGTATGACTCCCTCACTGGGGTTCCAGTTAGCCAACAGAACGTGCTGCTGGAGAAGGCCAGTGTTCTGTTTAATATCGGAGCCCTCTACACACAGATCGGGACCCGGTGCAATCGACAGACGGAAGCTGGCCTGGAGAATGCAGTGGATGCCTTTCAGAGAGCTGCAGGTACGCCTCCTCAAGGACTGCTGGGACGAGTCCTGGCCCCACCAGCTGGCAGGGGTACCCCGGCTGGAGAGGGTCTGTGGGTCCTCCCCAGGCCCACACTTGGCCTCGTGGGCCCAGCTGCCGTCACTGGTTATCTTTCCCCAAGGGAACTGCTTACTGGCTCAAACTCTGACGTCTCAGTCTGCGTATGGCTCATGTACACAGTGAATCCTGTGGTTAGCAATTAATGCCTTACAAATGAGTGGTCTGCAGATGGCAGTGAATGAAGTGTTCCTTGGAACACTGTTGAAGAGAATAAATTTTCCCAAACAGTGAAAAAGTAGGCTTTTTTTTCCCCCTTTAATCTGGCGTGCTTCAATAGTGCATATTACTATCCATGCCTTCATGCTGTGTGCATTCTGCAAAGCCCACACACCTGTGGTTGCTCTTCACCCTCTGTTAAGTGCCGTGTAGAACCAGCCTATAGAGGACCGGGCATCGCCCTGCTGGGTGCAGTGGGTGGACCTAGCTCATGGGTGTTCAAGGGTACTGTGTAGTGCCCCTCCAGTAGGGCCTGTGTCCTGGAGACCCGGCACAGGGCACGGTGGAAAAAGCATGGACAGTGCAGCATACCACATGATCCCCCAAACTGGCTTACAGCACGTTTCCTCCTGTGCCAGCCCGCCTCACTGTGCTTTGGGGTGTAACCCCTGGCAGAGAATATTTTTGGGCATCACACTTTGTTTTGCAAGGCAATAAAGAGCCGTAGCTTTGCTGTTTGGGCTAATCATGGAATTGTTTCTATTAAAATGATTGATCCCTCAGGATGAAACGACATGCTTAGATTCAGTGTGGGAATTCATTTCTTTCACTGCAAATCTTTCTGGGCTCCTCTTTCTTCCTGGGGAGTCTTAAGCAGGTATTCCTGGTAACCTGTCTCTAAGACTACAGAGATACGGTGATGCGAAGCTTGACAACAGAGTGGAAGCAAACCCAGAGGAGAGCACACAGCCTGCAGCTGTTGCCACCATTTTGCAGGGCAGTTTATGCTTTGCTTTTGCAATAAAACCAGAGGAACCAGTCAGATGGGATTCATGTCAAGGATTTTATTTCCCCTCCAGGTTGATTGTCAGTTAATGTTGTGACAGTTAATTTTCTAACATGCTTTTTTTAAAAAAGTCAGCTAAGGTCTATAGCATGAAAATTTCCACTGGAGTGGCTGAATTGATTTTTCCTGGGTCCTGGGGAAAAGCCCGGAATTTCTGAATGACCCTGGTATTAAGTGTGAGTGTATCTCCCTAAAGCCCTTTAGTTATTCTGCCTGCTTTCTGCTTTCTCTGCCATCCTTCCTTGTCATGGAAGGAATTTCTCATAGTTGTCCCAGATGAGACAGCAATGACCAAGGAGCAGGCAGGTTTCCTTGCTTGATACAGATGTAAATGTTTTGGAAGAGAATCTTGTTTGTTTGTTTTTTTAATTGTGGTAAAATACACACAACAAAGTTACCATTTTAACCATTTTTAAGTTCACTGACATTACATATGTCCACGTCTTCTATAGCTATCCATCTCTAAAACTTTTTCATCATCCCAAACTGAAACTCTGTACCCATTATACCTATTGAAAAAGAACTATCCATTCCCTCTTCCCCCCAGGCCCTGGCAAATACCTTTCTAATCTCTGTCACTATGAATTTGACTATTCCAGGTACCTTATCTCATAGAATTATACAGTGACTGACTTATTTCACTTAGCATAATGTCGTCATCCATGCTGTAACATGTGTCAGAATTTCCTTCCTTTTTAAGGCTGAAAATATTCTGTTGTATGGTTATACCGCATTTTGTTTATGCATTTTTCCATTGACAGACATTTGAGTTGTTTCCACCTTTTGGGTTTATGAATAGTACTGCCATGAACCTTGTCCACAAGCATCAGTTTAAGTCTCTGCTTTCTGTTCTCTGGGGTGTATACCTAGGAGTAGAATTGCTAGATCTTATTGGTACTGGAGAATCAGGTTTTTAAAGATGCCCCAGGACACCAGTTGTATATTTTTGCTTCTTTTCATTCTCTATTCTTCTGAACAATATGGTGAGATAAATGATTCCCAACTAATGTGCCAAAATTTCCAATTATAGGGATTTTAAACTACCTGAAAGAGACATTTACTCATACTCCGAGTTATGACATGAGCCCTGCCATGCTCAGCGTACTGGTTAAAATGATGCTTGCACAAGCCCAAGAAAGTGTTTTTGAGAAAATCTGCCTTTCTGGGATACAGAACGAATTCTTCATGCTGGTGAAGGTGGCTCAGGAGGTTGCCAAGGTAAGCCTTCCTGGTTTCTGTGACTTTTGGCGGGGTGTGGGATGTTTTAGTGTGGGCCCACTGGAAGCAGGGGGTGCTTCCCAGGACAGCCTGCCCACAATCTGGGCAGCATGTCCACCCTGTCCAGATGCTGGCTTGCATTTTCTTGGTAAGTACCAGTGTTTCAGATATGGATCACTGATTCCATTTGCAGCTTAGCCTGAAAACCAGCGTAATGACAGTTGCCTGATCTGCCTGTTAACTATGACAGTGGCAACACTAGGAACCCTTGGAATTGCTCCCAGATTTAGCAGTGGCCTCTGACAGGGCGGCTGCGTAGAAGAAAAGGCTCTTTTTCTGTGGCCCTGATCTGTGAAGGCCTCTGTGCCAGGCTCTCCTTCCCCAACATTACTCCTGTTTCAGGTGGCAGAAGTCTATCGGCAGCTGCATGCAGCCATGAGCCAGGCTCCAGTGAAGGAGAACATCCCCTACTCCTGGGCCAGCTTGGCCTGCGTGAAGGCCTACCATTATGGAGCCCTGGCCCACTACTTCACAGCCACCCTCCTCATCGACCACCAGCGTAAGGCCTGGGGGCTGGGAGGCTCTAGTCTTTGGTCAGGGTTGTGGTTCTGCTGGCTCGGGGAGATTCTGAGCTGAGCGAGAGCTCTCTGCCTGCCCTAGAGAGATTCACAGCCTGGGGGCAGAGCATAGGAATTACCTGTGGGCCCAGGCAACTGTCACACAGACCAGGGTGGGATTAAGGGGTATGTGTTCCTGCTGTGGGAGGAAGAAGGCTAATTAATTCTGCCTGGGATGGAGTAGACTGCTTCCTGGAGAGGGCTTTACCCCGGAATCTAGACCAAGGTTAGGACCAGGCCTGGGATTAATGAGATGCTTGCCTCAGACACCAAATCCAGGGATGCCCATCCACTCACTAGTCAAGGTAACATTTTAATGTAGTGTTTTAGATGAATCACAACCAATGCAAAAAAATCTCTGGTGATCAGAATTTTAAATAAAGACACAGATTAGTAACAAGCAAGCAAGCAATGTGTCCTAAGCCACATTGGAGCCTGAAGCAAAAAGAAATTTTGTTCATTTGCAGATTTTTTTGCATTAATTGTAACACTTAGAAAATTGTATTAAAATATCATATATCTTGATTGCTGGGTTTTGGTACTCCCTTAAATTTTGAGCCTGAGGTGAGTGTCTCCCTCTCCTCACCCTAGTTTGGCTGTGATCTGAGGTTAGATGAGACTTTTGTTGTAATTAGCACTAATCAAGGCAGCCTTCAGAGTAATGAAAGGGACAGCGTCTGGAACCAGACTGTCTGGGTGAATATCCCAGCTCTGCCATTTATAAGCTGTGTGATCTTGGGCAAGTTACTTACCTGCTCTGTGCTGCAATTTTCTTATCTATTAGATGGGCATATGAAGAGAATTTATCTCACAGGGCTGTTGTGGGAAGTCCGTGGCTTTATGCAAAGCTAAATAGTGCCTTGTATATAGTGGGCTTTCTGAAAGTGTACCCACTGCTGCTGGTATTATATACAGTCTGTTAGGCCAGACACATCATGTAAACCAATAGAGGTATAGTGCTTCAGTAGTTGGGGTAGAAATACAAATGGGCAGTAGCTGGACTCCTTGGCATCATCACAATCAGTTTCTCAGAGCCGGTTACATTTGAGTTGTAGTTTGAACTCTAGGAAGGACTTTTCCAGCTTAACAGGATGAGGAAGGACAGTAGAGCAGGTACATTACCAGAGCTCTGGAATGGGGGCTGAAAGTATGGAGTAGTGGTGTGTGGTTTGGTGACTTAGAGAGAGGACATGTGCCATGGAGGGCATAGGCAGCACAGGGGCCACCAGAGGCATGAGGTGTGGCTCTGCTAGGCGGTTGCATGAGGCTGGGGACGTGGAGGAGGTAGAGAGTGGGGGTTGAGAGCCACCACATGAGCTGGAGTGTTCCTGGCTTTGTGCACAAAGACTTGTGGGCTGCATTGCCTGGAGTGTGTCCAGGGGTGAAAAGGAGGCCAGTTTTCCCAGTGCCACAGAATACTGGAGAAGAAAGGAACCTGGAGATGTAGTTGAAAGAGAAATCTCTAAGTGGATCTGAGGTGCCATCTCCAGAGTCTGCAGCCACATCCACAGAACATGATTTATTCTGTGGTTCTCATTGCAGTGAAGCCTGGTGCAGATGAGGACCACCAGGAGAAGTGCCTGTCCCAGCTCTACGACCGCATGCCAGAGGGCCTGATGCCCTTGGCCACGCTGAAAAATGGCCACCAGCGCCGACAGCTGGGTGCGTGTTGGCTCTCCTGCTCCCTCCCTCCCTGTGCCCCATTTGATGCCCAGCTGGATCTGCTCATGGACAGCCCTAAATGGTATCCAGGGCAAAGCTTGGAGAGCAGGGCGTCCTGAGTCATTGTGGCCACTCTAGATGAGAACCAACGGGACACAGTCTTCTAGCTTTAATGGGCTTCCAGAGTGGTGTATTCATGGGTTCCACAAGGACCTAGGCCTCCCACAGTAGAAACAGAGCTTTGATAATCTTCCAACATGCTAGTGGTCCAGGGGATGGCCCTGGCCATCCAAATGTGAAAGGACACGTTTGTTAACTTTCTTATGTCGCACCTGAGAACTGGTAACAAATTGTCCTAATTTGGTGTCTGCCAAGTCTCAGAGTGAGTATCTTCTCTCTGTGAACCTGAATTCCTCCACTATCCAGACCTGCCCCTGCCCCCGCCCACCCAGTTTCCCCATCTCAGTGATGGCAGTTCCATCCTTCTCGGCACAAAACACCAGACTCACTCTCTGCCCTTGTCATTCTCATCCCATATGTGATTAGCAAATCCTGTTGACTCTACCTAGAAAACATATCCCAAATCTGATCATATCTTACCACCCTGGTCCAAGTCACACTCACATAGCACCTACTTAACAACTGTTGACTCCCTTAAACCTTCCGCAACCGTATGAGATAGTTATGGTATGATCCCCATTTGTCAGTTGAGAGAGAAAACAGACCCAGAGAGGCCACGTGTTTGCCCAGCTTTTTGCAGTTCTCTCAGCTGGTCTTCCTGCTTTCCTCTTTGCTCCACCGTAGTCTGTTCACATGGGTCAAATCACATCAGTCCCCTGCTCACACCCTAATGGGCTCCATCTCCTTCAGAGCAGGAGCAGATGTCCTCACTCTGCTCTTGTAAGGTTGGCCTCGCCCTGCTCCCTGCACACATGGTCTGGCTCCTGCTCCTTTCTGACCTCATCGCCCTCGGGTCCAAGGTCCCCTTTGTCTGTAAACACTAGGCATGCTCCTGCCCTAGGGCCTTTGCACTTGCTGTTCTCTCAGAAATGCTCTTCTGTTGGATATCCTCACTTCTTTCAGGGTTATGTTCAAAAGTGACCTTCAAAAAGGTCTTTCCTGATCACCATCCCAGAAAAGCAGGTTTTCATTCCCAGCCTTCTCTTGCCACATCTGCCTACCTTGCTTTATTTTCTTCCATAACCTATCGTCATGTGATCCATTATGCATTTCTTTGCTTGTTAAGTACCTGTCTTTAACTACTAACATGTAAATTCTATGCATGCTGAGGCTAGTTTTTGTTCATTACTTTATTTCTAGTGCCTAGAACATTTGGCAAATATTTGCTGAATGAATGTTTTATAGATACAAGTAAGCATATTCCCAGTGCACGTAAGCTGTGCAGGCAGATCCTTCAGAAAAGAGAATGAACACTGTTCTGGGCTGATCCTTGGGCACCTGGGCTCTCCTTGAGGTACTTGTATTGTGCTGAGGGCATGTGTCACACGGTGTTGATTTCCTGTTGACAGGCAAGTCCCACTTGCGCAGAGCCGTGGCCTATCACGAGGAGTCCACGAGAGAGGCAGGCCTGTGCAAGAAGCTCCGCAACATTGAGGTGCTGCAGGAGGTGCTCTCCGCAGCACACCAGCGGTCCCGGCTCAAGTTCAACCAGCATCAAGAGGCTGACGATCTGCTCAACTTGTTCGAGGCTCCTGACATCATTTGTGAGTGGTGCAGGTGGCTGTGCCCGGCATACTGTGCACCCTGTGTGGGAGGCAGGGGCACTCTGGGGGCCCAGCCGTTACCTGCTGCAGGGGTTGTGCAAACCTGTGCTAGGCCCTAGGCATGGGGGAGGAATGCTGCCCCTGCCTTGGGTTTGCATCTCCTCGTTCCCACATGGCCTCTGCCTCACCTACTACCCCCTTGTGCCATCTGACTCCCTCCTGCCCCTCAACAAGCCTCCCTTGGTGCAGGGGTCCTGCCTGATTCCACCCACCCCTCCTGACATCCTTGAGGGTCTATTCTCCCTGGTTTGCTTCCTCTGGGTGCCTTTCCTTAAAGTCCTTTGGGGCTCCAGCCACTGCCTCTGGTCAGGAGAACCTTAAAACTATCTTTTGCCTTGTGGTTTTTGCTGCACTGCACACCTACCCACGTTCTATCTTCTTGTTGGGAAATGCACTTTGCTGTCTGTCTTCAACCTCTGGCTCTGTGGTTTTAGAGCCAAATGCATCCTTTCTCTCCCCTAAGCTTGTCTGTTCCTCTGTTTTCCATCCATCAGCACCAGCATTTTCTTTCTTTTTAAGGACAAAAATAATTTTTATTATGAAATGAGAAGTATTTCACTGATAGAATGGAACCAGGGGATGGAGGGAAAATTTTTGCTTTGGCTTTGACAGTTCCTCAAAATCTAGTTCTGTGTGTGTGTGTGTGTGTGTGTGTGTGTGTGTGTGTGTGTGTGTGTGTGTGTGTGTGTGTGTTGAAAATATTTAAGATCTACCCATCAGATTTCAAGTATACAGTAGTATGTTAATAACTATAGTCACTATGCTGTATGCTATATGTTACAGCTCTAGGACTTACTTATCTTGCATAATTGAAACTTTGTACCCTTGACCAACATCTCATTTCTTCCCTCCCACCCCCACACCTGCCATGCCACTCTCTGCTTCTGTGGGATTCCACATATGAGTGAGATCATGCATCACCAGTGCTTTCTAAGCATCTCTCCAAGGTGTTGAACACTGTCCTGGCTTCAGGAATACAGGGGTCAATGGCATAGTTGCTGTCTGTGGGGTAGTAGCCATCAATTTTGTCCTAGAGGGCAGGAGTCAGGGGGCCTTTACAGGAGTTAGAGGAAGGAGCGGGGTGGTCCGATCAAGGGAACCCTCTTTGTTCTCATCCCCTGCCATCCCACTTCCTATACCTTTGTCCCTATTCTCTAGAGGCCTACCCCAATTTTCAGGGACCAGCTCCTTAGAGGCAGAGCCCTGCTTAAGCTAGAATCCCAGGCTTGTCTGTAGTAATGTTGGCTGATACCTACTGAACAGTTGAGATCTGCCACACAAAAGAGTGAGCATCATGTGTATGTGGAATCTCATTCAGCTCTCCCTCCAACTATATGATGGGGGTACTAGTATCTCCCTCATCTTAAAGATGAAGCAGTTAAGGCCTAGGGAGGTCAATGTCTTTGCCGCAGGTGACGAAGCTGGTTGATGGAAGTAAGAATGGCACTCAGGGATTCTCCTTCATGAATACTGACCACCTCCTCCTTGGTCCAATTGTCTGCACATTGTGCTCTGTGGCCAGGAGGTGGAGACACACCTGACAGAGGGAGGTTCCTGGTGAGGCTGTGGGGTAGGGGGCTTTCCACTCTCACTGTGGATGAGCAGCCTATCTGAGCCCAGTGCTGTGTCAAGGAGTTCGTAAGCAGCCACAGGGCCATCCTGTGAATAGGGATGTTTGTGTTACCTTGGCATGCCAGTCATCTCCACATTTTCTTTTCATACTGTTGTCATGTGTATTGAGCCTGCTCTAGGATGCTTTGTTAGAAACTGCATAGCCTCGTGGTTAAGGGTTGGCTTGAGCCTAACATGTATATAATGGTAGAGATTTGAACTACTGGGAGACACAGTTTGGCAAATTGACGTCTCACTGTAAAATCTTCACATTACTCATTAATAATAAAAAGAGGAAACACATCTCGCCCAGAACTTTGTGCTGAGACACAGGACTCCCATAAAAGCCACAGCTGAAACATAGATTACTTCTCAGTAGGATTTATGAATGCCAGAGGGAGTCCACTGGAATGAAAATAAGCTCCTTGAGGCAGGGAATGTGTCTGATTGTCACTCCTCAGTCCCACCTCCAGAGCAGGCTCATAGTAGGGACCTGAATGGAAGGTACTGAGCCAGGGGGTTGAGCAGTAGTGCATATTCCATACTACTGTCTAAACCAAAGTAAGGAGAAAAGTTGGCCTCCTCTCCCCTTCAGAAAGACTTAGACCTGAGTTTTCAAGGATAACTTTCAATTACAGAAACATTCATGCTTTTAATCTTTTCCAGCTAAAACTGAGCACGAGGTTGAAATTATACCACCACAGTTCTCCAAGGTGACAGCAACAGACTTCTTCCAGAAGCTGGTATGTTTAATGCTTATTTTATAATGACACAGGGGACAGCTTTTCTAAGTTGCAAGTCTGTAAGAGGATATTTTAGATATCTTAGATTTCTTAATGAGAGATTTTATATAAGATAGTTTTTAATTAAGACCATTTAAAAAATAATTTGATCTAAAATCTATTGAATATTTTAGAGAAAGTGGAAATTAACATTCTTACATGACTCCTCATAGCAGTGTTATCCTAGATGGTTTCATTCGTCTCTGAGCAAGGCTCAAGATATTTCCTTTAGCTTTCAAATGCCTGATTCAGCCTTCAGATCCCACACCTAATGATGCTCTACTCCAAAGGGCCCTTTATCAGTGTTTTCGGCTAACAAGAGATGGACACCTCCTCGGAGCATTCGCTTCACTGCAGAGGAAGAGGACTTGGGATTCACCTTGAGAGGAAACTCCCCAGTTCAGGTCCACTTCCTGGATCCTCGCTGCTCTGCTGCGGTAAGCATCTGCCACTCTAGATTGGGACCAAAACTCCTTGGCATCTTTGCAGGCAGTCAGACTGGTAAATACAAAGAAAGGTGCCCAAACAAATATATCTGGTGCATGAATCTGGGGTTCCCTTGTGTAAAAGGCCTGGATGTGTCAAAGGCCTCTCATGGATGCTACATGCCCAAAGAAAAAAGGATTTGTTGCTTTCTTGGAGCACACCTATGCAAATATCTGTTTTGTTAATGATCTTGGGAACTGATTCAGGGATTTGAATGAACAGGACAGTGACCTTTTTTTAAATCGTACTTCTGTAGCTAGCAGGAGCCAAAGAAGGGGATTATATTGTTTCCATTCAAGACGTGGATTGTAAGTGGCTGACTGTGAGCGAGGTTATGAAACTGTTGAAGAGCTCTGTGGAGGATGACATTGAGATGAAGGTTGTGAGCCTCTTGGACTCCACCTCGTCCGTGGTGAGTGCTGACAGCCCCTGGCAGTGAATAGCAACCTGGAATGAAGTCAGGGTGAGTCTGGCCCCAGAGTCTTTACCAGGCAGGCGCTCTGCCTCCTGCCCGCCATTGGGACATGCCCACACACGACTCAACCCCTGAGCTTGTTATCACTGGGGTGTGCTCACCTTGGGTCAAAGAGATCATTGGAAAACTTTTTTGTTTAATCCTGCAGGTAAAAGAACCAACTGATGTATTTTTCTGATTAAACTCAAATAGAGTTTACAAAATTACAAAAGTAATACATACTCATGGTAACTCACGGTAGAAAAAAATACTCAGATGGTACAGAAGGGCTTAAGATGCCATGTGAAACTCTCTGCACGTGTCAGACAGCATTAGTCATTTCCTGTGAGATCCTGGCAAGTGTTGGAAGCCTGTACAAGTTCACATGCAGTTATAGCCTTTTTTGCTCTCCAGGTGGGAGGAATCATTGTATCTGTACTTTGCACTTTGCTTCCTTCAGTTATGTACCTTCGTCACTTCCACCTATAATGACGTTCACTTACTCATTCAACACTTAATTGATTGTTCATCATCTGTGTCCTAGGCCCTTTTCAAGTGTTAAGAGGTACAGTTTGAGCTAAGTAGATAAGGTTGCTTTTTCGCAAAGCTGGCTCTGAGCAAATATGTGGTTTTGATTTTGATAAGTGCTGCTGAGAAAAGAAACATGTGACACGATGGAATGAGTGGGGGTAGGGAGAGGCTCCTCTGTTCAAGACTTGCCCTGAGACTTGCATGACTAGGAGGAATCAGCCATTTGAAGAAGTACAAGAGGAACACTCTGGGCAGGGGGCCAACAGGTGCAGAGATACTGGGGCAGGAATAAGTTTCTCCTGCTAGAGGAATGAACAGAAGGCCTTCCAGCTGGAGCATCATGACAAGGGAGAGAGTAGCAGGGATTGAAGCAGAGCCTCACTGGCAGTGGTGGGAGTTTGGAGGCCATTGGCTCTTTTAAGAAGGGGAAATGACATGGTAAATTGATTTTAGAAGGACACCTGCTACCTGTAGGCTGGCTGGCTGGCAGCAGAGTGAGCTGGCTGACAGTCATCCAGGCCAGCGATGTTAGCAGCTTACACGGAGTTCAGGGACAGCAGTGGGTAAGGTGGGTGGGGACCATGTCAGTGGAGGTGGAGATTGGGGGATGCACCTAAGACATATTTAGGAGGTAGAGCTGGCACAGATTTGTAGATGATTGGTGTAAAAAAACGATGGTGGAAAGACAGATGAGTCCTCAGATTTTGGCGTGAACAATTGCATCATTTTTTGTAATGATGTGGGGCAGGGGGCAGGGGTGAGGAGGCAGAGGAGAGAGAAAACAAGAGTTGTACTTTGAATGTTCTTATGCCATTAGACATCCAAATGTAAATGTAAACTAGGCAATTAGATGTTCAAATCTTCAGTTCCAGGAAGAAGTCAGAGTTGCAAATAAATATTTGAGAATCGTCAGCATAGATATTTAAAGCTGGAAGAGACAAAATGAAGTGACCCTCAAGGAGCTGAGGGCTGAGGACTAAGCCCTGAGATAGCTCAAGAATTTAGAGATCAGCTAGAAGAGAAATAGGGGCAAAGGAAGTTGTGAAGGGGAGTTCAGAGGTATGATGAAAAGGAGCTTTTGGAACGAAGAAGAAAATGCTGCCTGGAGAGAGCAATCAGTGGTGCTCAATAGAGTTAAAAGGTGGAGGAGGGAGGTGGGGCCGAGTCTGTTATATTTGGCAGCAGGACAAAAGGACATGCTTTGTGGGGGTACAGAAACTCAGACTAGGGAGGGTTGGAGAGTGAATGGATTGTGTGATTCCATTGGTAAGAAATGTCCAGAACAGGCAAATCCATAGAAACAGAACGTAGATCAGTGGTTGCCAGGGGCTGGGGCCCTGGGGAGTGGGCAGTGACTGCTGGTGGGTATGAGGTTTCTTTCAGTGGGGGATGGAAATGTTCTGAAATTAGATAGTGGTGATGCTTGCACAACTGAATATGCTAACAACCATGGAACTGTATCAACATGGTGAATTTTTTGGAATGTGAATTAGATCTCAATTTTAAAAATAAGGAAGATAAAGAAGGTGAGCCTCAGAACACCTAGGGAGAAGGGAATCACGAGAAATGGTATTTTTAGGGGCAGAATCCATGAAATTGCTGGACAAGTGATCAAGGTCCCAACCAGGAAAAAAAGAAGTTTGTCAAAAGGCAGATCAATACAAGAGTTGGTCTCTGGACTGAAGGGCTGGAGGAGAGAGCACAGCAGAGGAGGTGTAGTTTTACAGGGCAGCCACACCCTGAAAATATAGGAAAATTGGTCTTTCCATCTGTCATATTTTTGAACCTGTTAAGAATGTGATGTATTGATTAAAAGCAAGGATTCTACACTCAGACTGTCTGGACTTGAATTCTGGCTTTACCACCAGTTTGGGCATCAGGGAATAGTTCTGAGGCTCAGGAAAATGAGAAAACAATGCCTAGATGGGATATATTTCAACTCATAATAAATGTTATAATAGGAGGAGCATACTTTGAATGCTAGTAGAAAGCATCCCAGGATTGAAATCGAAGACCTAGAATCAGGCCCTTTCTGCTGTTATCAAACTGTGTGACCTTCAGCAGATTAATACACTCCCTAGGCCTCAGGTTCCTCATCAGTCTAAGTTAGACGAGTGCAGTGGTTTCTAACTGCTCCATAAAGCCCTGAGCATCTCAAGAGGCACACCAGAAAGAGTGGGGGACTGGGTAGTGGAAAACATGCTGAAGGAGGACAGGAAAAAAGGTGGATGGGAGGATGGAAGACATAAGAAAGGGAGCAGAGACATTGGGGTGGTAGCTGGGAGATGGGACATAAGAGGAAAGCTTTTTAAAAGAAGGCAATATGTGCATGCACATTTATGTGTGCCTGGATCTCACAGTAAGCTTGTGCACTGAAGGGAAAGGTCTGGGACACAGGAGTGCACGAAGGAGGAGCTACCTGGAGGAGAGGGGAGTGAGATCCAGGCACATGGGAGGGCTTGTTCCTGAGAACAGATGCAGTTAAGTACAAGGCAGGGGTATCAGGAGGGCATGTGAGGGGCTAGAGAGAAGGAATTAAATTACTAGCGATATGTGGGAGTGCCAGGTACCAGGGTGCCTAGTAGTGGTTTGGGGCTGGGGTTAGGATTTCAAGGGAAACCAGCGGCTTGATAAATACCCTCCAGGAACGTGCTGCTGCATGGATGTGGGCCTGGGCAGTGCAGAGGGTGGTGCACCACTGGAGTTTGATATTCGCTGGCTGAAGTATGGAAGAGAACTGAGGGTATTTGTAAGGGAGCGGTGGTGACGAAGCATAAGACTCCAAGCAGGTTAAGCTTAAAAAATGTTTGGAGGCCTCAAATCTACCTCCAGTGCTGTTTGTTAACACTTTTAATGATAGAATGTGGTGGAGTTAATGGGAAGTTTAACAGAAAAGCAAGAGGCATCTTCATTCAAAGGAGACAAACTCAAGAAGGACATCCTATAGTGAATACCCTCCTTTACTGCTGCCTTGCTCCAATTCCTTGATTTGTGCTATGAACAGTGTACCCAACCACTTCAGATATATTATATGTATATTTATATAAATGGTCTGATTTCAGGGGCTGGAACATAATAAATAGCCATAGTCAATAAACATGTGGTGAACAAAGCAATCTCAGTATTGGGAAACCTTAGAAACATGAAGTGTTTAGAAAACAGATTCCTTCAGATTTCCTATTTGAGCCCTACACAATCCTTACTAATTAATAGTATGGTTTAACGGGTACAGAGTTTCATTTGGGGAAGAGTGAAAAAGTTCTGGAGGTGGATGTGGTGATGAACGTACAATGTGAATGTAGTTAATGCCTCTGAACTGTACACTTTAAAATGGTTAAAATGATAAATTTATGTTAGTCTGTATTACACCAGCTTAAAAAAATAGGGAAAAAGTTATTATCTTCACCATGGATTCTATATTGTCTTTAAAGAGAATTATAGACCAATTAAAGTTGGTTTATACCTACTGGCCTGGACTGAAAACTAAGTTACCTTAAGTAAAGAAAGCAGGGTACAGACCAGAACATGGAGTGTACCTCTTTTAAGGAAAGACAAATGATGGTGTATGTTTACACTCATCAAAACCTATATATGAACGTTACCTCTCAAAGTGTAATAGAAATGGTGGTTACCTCAGGGGAAGGGCCCGGAAACCAAGGTGGGAGGGACACCTATGGTTCACTGTATGTTTTTTAGATTGTTGACTATGAGATTGTGTGACATTTTCAAAAACACTAAGAATCATAAAAGGTAATGGTCCCTAGCCTAGTTTACTGCTCTTGAATATATTTCTTAAAAAGTGTCCTTGATTTTAAGAACCTAATTCTATACAAGCGTTAGTCACCCAAGTTTCAGAATTATATCAACTTAATTTTAAAGGGGATGCTGTAAGTGTACAATGTCAGTCTCCAACTTGGCAGTCATTCGTCATGTATCTTGAGGATTACTAACACCCCTTCTCTTCCTTTTCTATGTGCAGCATAGTAAGTGTGCCACATACTCTGTGGGAATGCAGAAAACTTACTCCATGATCTGCTTAGCCATAGATGATGATGATAAAATTGATAAAACCAAGAAAATATCAAAAAAGCTTTCTTTTCTGAGTTGGGGCACCAACAAGAACAGACAGAAGTCGGCCAGCACTTTGTGCCTCCCATCAGTGGGGGTCACAAGACCTCAAGTCAAGAAGAAGCTCCCCTCTCCTTTCAGCCTCCTCAACTCTGACAGTTCCTTGTACTAATGTGAGGAAATAAAAATGTTCAGGCCCAGAATATTCCCGGTGCTCGTTAGGTCCTCAGACTTGTACCATAATGGAAAATTTCCAAATATTCTCAAATCCTATTTTCTCACAGTGTAAACTTAACAATTGATGTCTTTATGAAATGTAAGTAACAAGAAACCTCTAGATATTTGTGGAAAACACACTTGTTTGGACAGTGTCACCATATTGCTGCAAGTTATTTATTATATAAAGTATTATAAATAGAATCATGTTGAAAATATAGCTATTTTTAATGGGCACAGTTGTGACTTTTAGTTACTATCAGAATTAAGTTGGAGTTACATATATATATTGGTTCTACTCGTAATAGTTTCCATGCGTGGGTAATAGATCATCATTCCTTAACTCAAAATTCTGATCCAAAATTAAGGTAGGTCAAGGGACTATAATGATAGACTTAAATTAGTGTTACTAAAAACTGTTCCAAACAACTGCTTCCATAAGGGGAATTCATTCACCTAAGACAAAAAGATTTTACCATTATTTCTATGTAATATGAATGCTACTTCCAGAATAAAGCCTATTGCCAAGTTTGTCATGATGTAACAAAAAACAATTTAGGAACAGCTGCTTTTCTTCATTAAAAGGTCATTGAAAAGTTGCTAACACAGTGGCAGTGTTAGATGAAGACGCTATCTACAAGGTAGATAATATACTGTTTGATACTCAAAACATTTTTCATTTTCTTTAAAGTAGAAAGTATATAATTGTATATTTTAAGAGTTTTTAAGATGAGTTAAAAACATTTTATAAAGATGTAAATGATTCAAGTTTAAAGCTGTTTGACTTTTTAAAAATAGCATTCTTACGAGTTGATTTCTCTTGCTCTAAGTTGGATGACACCGTGATTCTAAGATTCACTGTTGACATAGAACAAGTTATATAGCTAAAAATACATAATACTGAAATCTAATTTTGAGAATTAATAAGAATTTAAGTATTTTGTAGTGTACAATATCAAAAGGGAAGCAACCAACTTGGGGAAAATGTAGCCCCTGCTCTTAGGGCCATTTTTGTATAATTATTTAAATAAACACATTCATTTGCCTGAGTTAATGTGTTCTGCTTTTATTTTGCTTTAATTCCCTCCTCGTGTCTACCTTAATGCACAAAATGCTTTTCTGGTGTTTGATGTTTTAAAAATTACTAACATTTCACAAAACTGGACTTAAAGAACTTTCAAGTTATCCTAGTATCTTTGAGAACATATAGCATCTTTAACTGTGTTTATTTTTTGAATAGGCAATTGTACCTTTTGATCCCCAGCCCCCAGCTCTCCTCTCTGGATGCAGCTGCCCTGCCATATTCCTGTATATCTTCCCACCATTGGGCTGTACATTTCTAAGCACATTGTTTTCCTCCCTCACACACCTTGGCTTTTTAATCTTTAAACAGGAACTCTAGGCTCCAGGCTTTCTGTGTTCAGAAGACATGCCTAGTGATTATAAACAAACTGTACAGCTACCAGGAAGGGAAGGGAGGAAGGAGGGAGGGAGGAAGGAAGGAAGAAAAAAGGCAGGACAATTGTTTATTAACACTGGCAGCAGCCCTCAAAGCTTAAGTGTATTAAGACCATACCTGAAGAATAGCAGCTCTGCCACCAGAAACAAGGGGCTTATGGTGTACAGTGCCTCATTGTAGGTTTGTTTCCTTTAGACGGCCACATCCACGGTTGGAAACTTAGTAAGACCTTTCCCTGATAGACATAGGTCAAGGGCACACATTAAAAGCTACTCAGGCTGGCTTTTTGCTGAATCTGAGAGTTCCGAAGTAAACTGACTCTCTTACGAAGATCCCTGCCAGTCTCCTTCTTGCTAGCAGAATGAGGGCAGTGCCATCAGAGACCCAGTAAGTTAAATGCCTAAACCCAGAGAGCAGGGTAGGACAACTGGCAGGTTTTATTCAGGTCTCACCTCACCTTTCACTAGTTGTTGTGAGAGGAAATCTTTGATACCTTTTAAATATGAGATGAATACATGATCCTGTAATTTGTGGTGTAAAGGAGAACGTACAGTAGATGCCTTGAGAAGACTGTCACCGGGGCTGTGTGAAGAAGGCATGGATGTGCTGTGCTACTGCTGGTCCAACCACTGGCTCCAGTTCTTGGATGGAGGCATTACTTAGTTGCTGGATACTTGGGAACTTCTGAAGCAGAAGGGGAGCTTTCACTTTTCCAACTCCTGGGATCTGTTGCACAGTTCGGAGGAGGGATGGCTCAGAGATCACAGCTGGCTTCTTCTTGAGAAAAGGATTCCTACTTGGCTCTTTGGTTTGCTCTTGAACCTGAATAGAAATGAAAGGAAAAGCACGTGAGTGCCCTCTAGAGAACTGAGTTTTCTTAAACATTTGTAGAAATTTTATCTTTAGTTTTTCCATGTGGTTCAGTTTGACTTACCACAAATATTTTCATATACCATGAATATAATTTTTCAAACAGCAGAATTATTGAAAGATGAACCATATGACTCCACAAAGGAGTAAGAGATAAACATTAATTTACAAAAACTTGAGTTTTACAATGGATATAACCAATGAAAACACTGAGGAATTCAAACATGTTCGTATGGTCCACTAAGAAACGTTTCAGTTGTATGGGATTAAATGATGGCTATACCTGCTTGATACAGGACCTTCAGGAAGCTTGCCTATCAAAGAAAAAACCTTAGATATTAACATTATATTACAGGAAGTCAGGAACAGTTCAGCAAGTGATCTGGCGGAGAGTGGTAGAGATGGAGGGGGATCTGTGGTTCTAGTCAGGGCTGCTTGTCATTCCAATTTGGTTCTCAGCTACACATTAGAGGGAAAAATTTAACAACAAAAACTGATGCCTAGGCCCTGCCTTCATGTTCTGATTTTTAATTAGTCCCTATTTTTAAAAGTTCCCCAGGAAATTCTAATGTACAACTAAGTTGAATAATCAGAACAGCAGAGAATCAGATTTTCAGAAAAAAAATAAACAAATTTGCACCTAGAAGAGCTGATGCTTAAAAGATATATGGGGATGAGGCAAAGTAGCTTGCAGTTGACATTTTTACCAATATAAGTGCAGAATATTGAATGATGGCATCATCATCGCTTGGGAGTCCAAGTCAGGTCTCCAATTTAATTAGACTTAGCTAGAATGGACATCAAGCTCAGCAGGCTGCAGGCATTCTGAACTTAAATTCCTCAAAAAGGTTTTATAAACTAACACAGGGAATGATATACAGGAGACCCTTTTCTGAGGTTTTGATTTAAATGGTTTCATTTACCCTAGGTCAGCTCAGAAACAGATGATCCTCCTTCTGACCTATTGTTAGAAGGTCAACAGTGCCTAACGCTACATCACAATGCTTGGTCATTCATCTCACTTCATCTCATCACACAGGCATTTTATCATTTCACATCTTCACAATAAGAAGGGTAAGTACAGTATAATAAGATTTTGAGATAGACCATACAATTTTTATTACAGTGTACTATAACTATTCTATTACATTATGTTATTGTGGTTAATCTCTTACTCTGCCTATATCATAGGCATGTGTGTATACGAAAAAACATATATATTGGGTTTGATACTATGCAGTTTCAGGCATCCACTGGGGATCTTGGAATATAAACTGTAGATTGGATTAGTGGACTGCAACCATAAGAAGGGCAGTTGCTAGAGTAAAGGATCCATGAAGGTCAGTTAAGAGTCCATAGACAGGCTATTACGGAGGAGTAGGAATTGGTACTTACTAACTGGATAATAAGGCATGAGGCTTCCATCTGGCTGGCCACTGGAAGCAACACCATCCCAAGGTCCAGCACAGTAAACTTCTGTACGGCCAGAAAGTATTGTTCACTCATCTGCGTTTTTTCAACTACTACAATCCCTTGAAGATTACTGGACTAAAAAAAAACAACAGTAAACCATTTTGTAACAAAATTCTTTTCAAGGTTACAAAAGCTATCACTTAAACAGTGCTTGGAATGGACGATGGTTTAATATAAATTATTCCAAATGATAGAAGGAGATGGGATTGAAATCAGTTTCTTAAACTCAGTACTTACATTTCTAACCCGAACCAGCCTCTTTCTGTAGCCATTTCCGGCCACTAAATCAGCTTCAGTGATATAAAGAACACAGGATTTGCTGGACAAGTAAAAATCTACCGGTGTCAGGTCATCCTCAAAAATGAGTTTAATTTTCCCTTAAAATACAGGCAAGAAAATGAGTTCCGTGAGCATTCGATGAAAAGAGGGCAACTGGTAGCACGTTTTTTAAAAGTAGGGGTAGGAGAGGACTTATGGAAAGGGCAGCCCACTGACCTTGCATCCCCTGTGCCAGCTGCGACCCGCGCCATTTCTCGTTGGCCACAACGTGCCCAAAAGGCACATGCATGGGTCCTGTGCCATCAGAGGGGTTCCTAGCCATCGGCAGCCTGGATCTAACAAGGGAAACGGAAGAAGCCCTTGAGCAGGCTCTCCTGCACACGGATGCACATCCACTCAAAGCCCGGTCCTTATTATCAGGAGCTGCGGAGTGTAAAAAGAGTGAATTATTTGCCAAAGTCTAAGACCCAGGAGATTCCTGTCCTGGTAGCCGCGTCCCTCGTTTTCTGATCCCCTGATAACGCGGCTCAGTCCGCGTCTTGGCTCCGTCCGGTCCAGGGCGGGCACCAAGCTGGCCCGGACCCTACCAGTCCAGGGGCTCTGTCATTACCTGAAACGCGCCACTTCCGGGATCCCTCCCGCAACTTCTTTCAGTCTACCATCCTGCTCACCCTCCATCTACCACGTCCCCGGATAGGCTATGTGTCAGATCGATACCCGAACTAGCCAATAAGAGAACGACAGTGCGCCCTGTTTCCGCTCCGGAGGATTTGGAGGGGTGGGGGAAGCCTCTGGTTGCCATAAGCAACGGGTGTGAAGTAAGTTTGGCGCTGATTGGTCTAGGAAAAAACAGAGCCAATGGTAGACGAAGTTGTTGCAAAGTCCTTTACCTAGAAAAAGTGTCTGGGGCTAGGCCAGCGGGAGCCTGACGGCTTTTAGGGAGCGGTACCCGGCTTTGAGGCCTGCTCGTCGGTCCGACCCTGTTTAGGCCACCCCCGCGCGGCAAAGATGCTCCTGGGGTTTCGGAGAGGCCGCAGGAGCCAGTTTGTAAGTAGATCCTCGCCCAACTTTCTGGCCGGGGTCTCGGAGTTAAGGGAGAAGGGTGAGGATTTGTCCTGAGATTGAGGCAAGACAGCGGCACAAGAGGACGAGGTTTTCCGTTAAAGAACTCTGGTTTTTCGTTTCTGGGGAATCCTAGAGTCGGCCTCAGGCGAACAGGAATCGCCCTGTCTCCCCTGCGGCATTCGCTCCGATGTCGGGGTGTTCACTTGTGCCCGGCACACACCTGTTGCTCTCCTGAATGTCTACCGCTGGGAAGGCAATCTTGATTCCTCTGTCCGCCACCCACCACGTACACCTCATCAGCAAGTTCCATAGTCTACCCACCAAATATATCAGCTGTTCTCGCCCCCACCCCGCCTCCAGCGTCTTCCTGGACTGTTGCTGCAGCTCCTTACTGTTTCTCTGCTTCCACTCTTGCCTCTCTCTAGGTCCGTCCTCCACGTAGCAGTCAAAGGGGTTCTTTTAAAATACGGATATGATCGTACTATTGCGCTCACGAGAATCCCAGCCCCCAACTCAGGCTTACACACTGTCCAGCCATACTCGGCTTTCTTCTGTACCTTCAGGCTTTTGCTGTTCCTTCTGTCTTGGAATGTTTCCCTCCAAACCTTCCCAAGGCCACTGTGTCGCAGCGAGTGCATACTCCCAGGCTCATCTAACCCCTCCGGTCTCTTCTACTCACTTTCTCTAGTATCCTGACTCCAACAATCAGTTGACACTTTCCGTCACCCTTACCAATGTCTTCACTGCCCTCATTTCCAGCCCTAACTTAGAATTCCACGGTCCATCATTATAACCTTTCCCCGTATACACCCTTAACTCCCTTGCTCCTGTCTTTCTTTTCCACAGGTGCCTGGAAAAAATTCCAAACCTACTTAAATCCAGTTCTTTGTAAACCTAATTTTGATAAGACACTCCTGAAATCTGTTTTAAGTTGAGGTTAGAAAGCATGTCTGACTTGGCTTCCTGTTCTCAGCCCTACTATCTGTTGGAGCAATTTTAGAAAGGTGGATGTTGAGAAACAATGAAAACACAGTTGAAACATACTTTTGCATCACAATTTTGCTAACTCAGCACATTTACTGAGCTTTTAGTGCATGATTGAGTTCCTACTGTGTGCTATATAACCACAATTGATTGAAAGCCTATAGCCTTGCTGTCTAAAGGATAGACAAACCCACAAATAATTCAGCCCCAAATGGAGGGCAAGAACTCCTGTAGAGGCATGTATCAAAGAAGGGATGGCAATGCAGTCCAGAGAGGTGACCTGGGCCTTGGGAAGGAGTAAGGAAAGAGACTTTAGGATGGAGGAAACAACACATATAAATGCCTGAAAAAGAATTAATTATTTCCTTTGTGGGAAAAGGGAGGCAATTCTGAGTGTTAAAGCACAGTGGATGTGTGTAGGGATAAGGAGGTTAGCAAGAAATGAGTCTGTGTCCATTGGGAGGAATTATGATAGCAGCCTTCTGTGCCATGCTAATCCATTTACCCGTCATGAAGAGAATGGGGCTGCCCCATCAGGGTTTTCATGCTAGGTCAAGGTAGTTTCATCCTGTGTTTTAGAGGCTAAGTCAGGGAGACCACAGTTAGGAAATGATTATGGTGGCACAAGGGGGATTCACTCTTTCAAAAATCAAAACAAAACTCATGATCCCTTTTGGAAAACCTACTGGATGCCAGCCCTGGGGGAGTCACCGGTGAAGAAACCCTTTTTTTGTCTTTGAGCATCTCCCAGGCAGTGTGGGATGGGAGACAGGGAGAGGGGGCAGACGTTAAACTGTCAAGTTATGCACATGTGCAGGATGGTAGGTATTACACAGAAGGGCCATCAGAAAAGAGGGATACAGCAGAGACCGCTTCGGAAGCCCTGCTCTTGGGGTGGGCCCTGCAAGTGGGACTGAGGCTGCAGGAGACATTGGAAGGTCTGCCATCCCTCACGCCTGAAGGATGCCCAGAACCATGGCTCTTTCTCTTGGTTGTGCCTCCCTTCTCTTCCCTGTACCTTGTACCAACCACAGCCTGATATATCTTTCCCGGGGTGGTCGCTGGGTGCTTCTCACTAGCCCACAAGATCTCTTTAGTCTGGTATCAAAACTTTTAAATGGAAACAATCCCTACTCATACCACCTGTGCTTTTTTCTAGTCTTTCCCTCCCAGATGCCTCTGTATTCCTGCAAACTGGGGTACTTGTTATTTCCAGAACACTGCCACTAATTTCTTGCTTCATTCCTTTGTTCATGCCACTCCCTTTTCCTAGAATGCATTTCCATCACATTCCCCAAATTAAGAGCAGTGGTCATCTTGGATGACCAGTGTAAATGCCCCTCATTTTCTCCAAGGGGACATTAGAAGTCCACTTGCTGGCTCCCAGACCTGAAAGAGTTCTTTCCTCCCTGGGCCACCCCAGTGCTTTGTCTTTACCTCTCCCTTGACACTTTCCATAATTCTGTGTTACATCATAAGAATTTGGGTGGTTTTCTCCAAGCTCTCTCACCCTGAGGATGAAGACAAAGTTTCTTTGTTGCTATAACCGTGTTTTGCTTTGGGTAGGTGTGAATGAATGGCTGGGGACTACAACATGAAGACTGGTATATATTCAGAAACTTCTGAGAGACTCCCATTTGCCTAAAGCCAGGCTCTTGGCTTTCATTGAGTGTAGGAACTAGTTTCATTTCTCGGCATCTTTGAGATCGCTACCTGAAATCTTTATGAAGCCCCTACTGGGTGTCAGATAGTGCACTAAGTGCCAGAGTGCTGGGGTGATAAAGACATGAAGGTTGCCTGCTCCCAGGAAGCTTCCTTTCTGCAGGGGGTGGCAAGTGAGGGAGGAGGGTTATCAGGGGCACTGCTATGAGACAAGTGGTGATGCGAGAGGGTGACTCTGCGGGATGGTCAGAAGCCCCTTCGGGAAAAGAAGGATGAGAGGAACCCACACTGGGCAGCTGTAATGGTGCTCACTGGGTGGGCATGCTTGTCTGGCCAGATGGGAACTGAAGAGGGCAGCAGGAGTAGTGGGCCTCCTGGTGGGGCTAGATCCCCAGGTGGCCTGTGCAGGTCTCCCTTTCTAGGCCCAGGGTGTGGGGAATGGCAGGACCCAGGTGATCCCATACACCAGTGACCTCTGCTGTGTTTCATCTGTGCAGAAACACATCATCCATGGCATTCTCCCTGCGGCCAGCATCGCACCGAAGCCAGCTGTGCCCCGTACACCTCCTCCCCGCAGCCCCAACCCCTCTCCAGAGAGACCAAGGTGAGTCTCACATGAGCAGGCACCGATGTCACCCTGGTGTTCAGCTGCAAGTGGTGGGTCCTGGAGCTGTTCATACTGATAAGAAAATCCCAAGTAGAGTAATTAGATTCATGTCCTTTGAAATACTTGTCATCGTTCCATAATGAAGCACTTAATGTGGTTTTTCTGTGTGATTATGGCATATCCCTTTCAGGTGTATGTAGTTCTCACATTTCAGAGCTGAATGCAATAACATTTTTTCAAAATACAAAGCATTAAAACCCAAGGATTTAGGTGGAAAGTATGTTAAAATGAATTTGAATTGTGCACATAGTTTTCTTTTGAAACACAATTC